CATCTGCGAGTAAAACAGCGCCTGCTGCCGTGTCCAGGACTGCGTTGCAGGCAACACACAACAACAAGTACATGCCTTTGCAAGAAGAAACAAACTCACAGCTGCAATCGTCGCTCCTGCGCATTTTGCATAAAACGACGAGCACTAGCACGACGACACAAATCTGTAAAGGGCAGTGACACCACCAACTACTTCAACGTTCAAAGCAAGAAGATGTGCTGTTCTGTTGCTGTGAAAACACCCAAGCACGTCTAGTTTGCTGCTACACACAGCCAGACCAGCTAGAACACCAAAGCAAAACTTGCACGGCAATCCGTGTGACACCACCAAGCGGAGTTCAAGGTTCAAAGCAAGAAGATGTGCTGTTCTGTTTGCTGTAACTAACACCCGCAGCACTTTCAGTTGCCTCCAACACAAAACAACGAAAACAAAACGCAGGCATGCAACACAAAAAAAACACATTTTTCTGAAAAAATTGCAAAAATGTTGTGGAAGCATGCAAAAACTGCAAAACGCAAAAAGTTCGAGCTGCAAGAAGAGCAAAGATATCTGCAAAAATTAGCAAAAATTTTGCAAAAAATAGCAAAAAAAACGAAGACTTTTCTCGGCACAAGAACACAAAACTCGATTCCAACTTTGAGACAAACCGTTTCAATCGATTCCGCTTGGAAGCAAACCCTCTCACTTTCTGCATGGCTGAGATTTTTGGCATGGACGGACCTCAAGAAAGCAATCCAGCTACGCTCGGTCGCAGTTAGAACAACAAGAAACCAAAAAAAAGCCAAGTGACTGCACAAGAATGAAGAGAAGAGACAATGCACACCAAAAGAGAACCGACAAAACACTTGAAAATTGTTGATAAAACTTGAATTTTGACATCTTGAAATCATGATCATGAAAAGAATTTTTCTTACACTGCGAATTGCAGACTTTCGCCGGGCAGGCATCATCAGCTCTAGTTGTGCTTCAACAGCTCGCAAGATCCGCTTCAACTGGACAGCAATGGCGTACACACGCATGTAAAGGCTGCACTCAGCAATCTGAAGTCATGGCTTTTGAGCACCGTTGAACTGCACGACATGACTGCGGAAGAGAGCTCAACCTGCAAGCTCCCTGAGCCGGTTACCAAAGTTCTACTGCGGCACTCCTTGCATCGAGTGATTGACTGTCTCCATTTTTACCTCTTTAGCAGAAATGCGAGCTTTAGCTGACTTGAGAGAAGAGTCTAAAACCTTTTCTCCGTGGTGCGTTGGTCTGTCTGGATGCTGTGCTGAAGCTCCGAGCTGATGCTCCACAATGGTTGCACCCGCTTGTTGTTGTGCGGAGGGTCTGGCGATGCTGAAATGATTGACCCGTCCTTTGACCATGTGCCTTTTCACAGAAGCTGCCGAACACCAGCCATCTTGCGAATGCCGGCTAGGGGAAGTAAAGGCGAGATCCAATTATGCACCCTGGCTCGACTTATTGCCAAGCCTCGTCGGCACTCTACAGCCTGTCTCTCCACAGGAGTCATTGCACACAGTTAGGTGGACTGGCTTGTCAGAGTGCCTCTTTGGAAGTGAGAAGGAGCGAGCTCACAAATGGAAATCGGGATGGATTGGAGTATCTAACGGCTGTGATAAGAAGCAAGTAAAGGTCGGCTAACAGCCTGGTAGAGGTAACCAAGACTAAATTTAGGAAAATCCATTGATGGAGACCAGGCCTTCAGCTTGAATGGCTGTATTGGCCAGCGTATTGCACCGACAGCTGACGGTTGAGATTGCACAGCGTCGCCTCGTTATGGGACGTCGACTGGTGGAGAAAATCCACCGCAGCAGATGGCACTTAGTAGCCGTGTATTTCGTCCGCCTACCAAGGCATTTATCCTCGGTCATGCACCCTAAAAGGCCTTGTGGAATTGCTCTGCGTCCTTCTAGTCTCGCCTACAATGTCTGCAGGCATCTTTTGCGTCCAGGCGGAACGGAAAATCACGGTCGTCAATCTTTTTTCGATTTCCTCAAGCATGGTCTAGAGTGACGCGCGTCCTGCCAACGCCGATACTGGTGACGCGCACTGGGTAGTAGCTGAATTGCAGAGTTCAGAACGGACTTGCGAAAGCTCCCGCCTCCGGGACAACTCGCCACCGAGGCGCAGGCCACAACCCTCTTCTCCTTCTTCCATGATCATCACAACGAACTGGGCGCCTCATCACGGCGCGACCGTTTTACCGGTCATCGACACGAGTGCTCTACAGTATCTTCGGACTGCTGGAGTTTACTGACCCGCCGAGGTTCGGGCTCCATCGCTCCGTGAAAATAAGGGAGGGGCGTGCTTTCCCCCAAAAGGCTATACAGTGCGCTCCGCTCCCACCACCGGTCGATCGTACTTGGGAGGCTACAGCGTTATGTGTCGTCGCACATGCGCCTTTCCTGCCCTGAAGCGGTTGCTACCGCCTGTGGCTACCACGGGCCTTCCACGCGCCCTATTTATCCGGTGGGAGCAGTGCGCCCGGATCCTGACACCGGAGTGCCTGCCAAAGAGGATCCGACGCTGACCGCCGAGCTGCGCAGTCAAAGCTGTGCTGTCTCCCTTCCGGTTGCACCTGCCGCTACATGGACCGAACGTGTGGCGGATCTTTTGGAGGCGGTCGAAACCCGAGTCACAGTAACTTCAATTGCCAGCCGGTGCGTACCGGCAGAGGATGAGGATGAATTTGCAACATGACACTCTCCCGCGTGACCAAGCTAGGGGCAGAATTCAAGCAGCCGGTCGATGGAATACACTGCGCCGGGGCGCTACAGCTTTACTTCCCAGCTCTACGGATTGCCTTACCCTGCTTTCGCTCCCCCTCAGAATTTTGGGGTGAAGGTTGTTGATTTTGCTGCTACGGCGCTGCACTGATAACGAAGCATTTCGCGTATGCTTGACACCCATGCTGGCAGTGTCTGTCGCACTAGCACAGTTCTGCGATCTAGTTCTACGCCTGCCTGAAGGACAGGTTTTCGACCTTTCCTGGTTTGAACTTGCATGTCCTGAAATTTGGTGGTGGCTGCTCCTGGATAAACTCGCGGGCTTAAGGGCTCGCTTCCCCGGTCTCGAAGGGAAGTCCCCCGGGATGGCAGCCTGGTGCAGATGTCCTTGGTTCCCAAGCGTGACCCCACTGCCAAACCAGATCCACTGCCAGCAAATAGCCACGGCGCAACGTCGTGGGAGGTAGCACGAGTGCTGAGGTGGCACAGGGCACACCATTTCTACATTGCGGCGCGCTGCTCGTGTAGCTGTTATTCTTCCACCAAGCACCCCACTTCTGCAGCTCACCAACGTTACACCATCCCGAGACGGCCAACATATTGAGGTGCGGGAAACATGCAAGGTTCTAGCTGACTTGGTAGGCCGTTCTCAGATTGCCATTGCGGACCGACTAACGGCGGGTTTCGAGAACGGACTCCTTCCGGCCCGACGCGGAAAGTTTGAACCGTGAATGTTCACGCATCCTGGCTCCCATCGCGGCACCTTTCGACTGCTCTTCCCCCTTGCGCGCTAGGGTTACAAGCTCAGCCGTCGCTTGCGATTCAGCTGCCGGTTACTGCACAGTGTCCTATGGCGTCTTCGCGCCGCGGCCTCCGGAGGCTGGGATCTCCGCGCGGTTGTCGCCTGCTGGATTTGTGGGCGAAAAGAAGAAATTTTACTTTCCGACCCGCCTGTGGCGTATTCGCACTTCGACGCAGTGGAGGCCAAAGCGATGGCCCTGCTTCAAAGGTTGGTCGCCTTGGAGGAGGGACGAGCACAGCCACCACCGGATGGCACCCGTCCCTGGATCAGGCTGGGGCACCCTCAGGCACAGGACCGCTGGAAGGCTGCGGTGGATGAATTCCTCAGAGCAGGGGCCCTCGGACCCGGCCTCCAACTTCCCTGCACATCCACGGAACTGATGCCATACCTTCATAGTGAGGACCACGACAACCACCAATACTCCTACTCACGCTTGAAGGAAATGTACACCGAAGTGACTTCATCACTTGTGATTATCACCTTATTTCCTTTTTCACAACAGCCGTTGTCGTGTCACGACAAGGTTGAACATGGTGATTTTCATGAGATTTCCGTCTTTTCACGATTTGCTCTTTTACTTTCACGCATGAGCATTGAGAAACATGGGCATTTGAATGACGATCCGAACGCAAGGTTTCTTGCTCAAGTGGGCAGGAAAAATTCTTTTTAGGGGCGGGTGGGTTGCACTCGTGCTGTCAGCTCAGATGGACGCTTCTGAGAGTGCTGCTTCTCAAGACATGGATGACTCCTCGTCTTATGAGGAGGTGGTCGTTGAGGAGACTCCACCTGCTCCCTCGTCCTGCAGATGTTGTGTGCCCGCGTGATCTTCGCGCTTCTGAAGAGCGGCTGAACTCTCAGCTCAACCAGCTTGCTGAAGACCTGGCTGCCATAATCTTTCAGGTGCACATGCTGCAGGAGCGCTTTCACGTCTTTCGCACAGAGACTTCCGAGCGTCTCTCCGTTCTGGAGGGTCGTGCCACGGACATCGAGGAGGCTTTTGATGAGTTGCGCCAGGCTTGCTCTCGCCACCGTGAGCCCCGCGATTAGTTTCGTTGCTCTTGCTCACATACAGGCCCGTTTGCTATGCTTGACAGATAATTTGCAGTTCGCTGTGGTTCCAAGCCGGGCTGGTCGGGTCAACACCTCAGATTCAGCCTCACGTCATGCGTTAGCTGTCTGCATAGCATCGGCGCCTGATTGCAGATCTCCTGATGTAGCGCCGGTGTTTCCAGCTCAGATCGTGGCCCGCTCAGACGGTGGCAAAACACTAAACTTGCTGCGCGTTTTGCAACATGTGTCGCATGTTTCAGTGCCTTGCGGTGTGGTTTTCCACAACTGGTCTGTGCACTTTGACTTCGACCTGCATACCACTCACATGTCATAGCGCGCTGTCTGTGCCGCTGATCTTTCAGTTTTCGCAAGGACCCTACGCCTCTAGGTTCTTTACTGAGGGTTCGGCTCCTTCATCGATGGACGCGCTGACGGGGTCCCAGATTCAATTCTTGCGAGATCTCCAAGAGGCCCTCTTTGCCGTTCGGGAGGCCGAGCGTCAGCGTGCACAGACTGGCCCGCCTTTTGCTTCTGCCAGGGCAAGTCGTGAGCGTGAGCGTTCGAGGTCCAGGGACTCGAGTCGCGATGCGACACATCACTCCAATGCTTCGGGGGAACGGGCACGGGACCTCAGCCCCTCCAGGTTGCTGCGCCAAATTTCTTGTCTCCGCAGTGACGGACACAGACTTGACAACCTCTGCTTGGGACGCACTCATTTGATGAGTACCTTGCTGGCTAACCAGGAGTCCAGTTCTCCTTTTTCTGCGATTTCCGAGTTTGTTTTGGATACCAGGGCCTCCCTGAGGACTCTGCATTCACGTCTTGATGAGCTCACACGTGTGGCCGCCGAGACTGCGATGAGTACAGCTTTTCGTCTTGATCGTTTGGAGGCCGCTTTGGCCCCAGCTTTGTGCCCACACGATGGGTCCAGCTGAATCACCTCATTTTCGAAGCCGGTCGTGTCTGCTGCTGGCAAAATTACGCTGCATTGCTGTGGCCACAACTTGTCGTGCCTGTGCTGGTGACCTTACTGCTGCTTCTCTGCAGACGAGCGTCGCTGACCATGGCCTGTCACGTAGTTTTGGCTGCTAGCACGCTGCCTGCTTCTGCTGCAATCGCAGATCCGCCGACTTACTCCTGTGCTTGCACTTGCATGGCCGAGAGTGCTGGCCTGCGCGTCCTGTGACCTCCGGGTGCAGTGGACTCGCTGCGCTCACGACTCGAGCACAATGCAGGGGGCGAGTAACGGGTGCTCGAGCGATCAGGGCCCAAGGATAGACTTCGAAGCTTTGCTGAGCGCGGCTGTGGATGCTTGTGCTAGCGATGCTAGACAGCCCGCGGCATTGCCTTGGGAGCACGGTGTGTTCAAGAGCATCTTCGAGCCTAGCGATGTGGTGGGCTGGGAAGACACTTTTATGCTGCCCGACCTCCCTGTGCCAGATGATCCCGAGGAAATTCTTCCACCTTCGGAAAAGAAGAGGCGTCTTAGGGAAAGTGGCCTCGTTCCTGGAGTGTGTTTTTCAGTGGTACGTAAAAGCCACGGCATATCTTGGCAAGCTCAGCGCGACAAGGACCACGACATGGCCATGGCTCGATGGACCTTTGTTATCTTGAGGTGGGCCGATCTTCGCCCGGACCTCTTGATCTGCAAGAGTCTGCTTGAGTGTGCTACCGCAGAAGAACGTACGGAAGTTCTTCGGGATTGGTTGCATCCAAAAGCTCCGAGTACGCTGCTAAAGCGTGTTAACTCTCTGCTTCGTTTTCACAAAAGTGAGGGATGGTCAGACGAGACTTTTCCGTATGAAGAGGGCAATGTTTACAAGCACATGGTGGCAGCCAGAGCTGGCGGAGCGAAGCCGGCACAGATGCGTGCGCTTCGTGAGGCGTTGATCTTCGTTCGACATGTTTTCTCAATTGAGGAGATTGAGAACGTGATATCCAGCAGGCGGTGTCTTGGTGCAGCATCGAGGGGTGCACGGCGGAAGGCGCGCCATAGGGCTGACCCTTTGACCTTGAAGAATTTGAGGCTGCTCCACTCCATGTTGGGGGACAAGAGTGTCCCCGCTTGGGATCGAGTTTTCGCGGGAGCAGCTTTGTGCTGCGCGTACATGCGATCCCGTTGGTCCGATTTTCAGCACTCTATCTCGTGTGGGCTGGAGTGCGGGGCTGATGGTGAGAGGCTCTTCCTGGAATTTACCTGTGAGGATTACAAAACAGTCAACTCTAAATTCTTTGCGGGTGTACCGCTTCGGATGATCGCTCCTGGACGGGGTATTGCTGGGCCGAACTGGCTCGATTTGTGGCACGAGGCTCGAGTGGAGGTGGGACTTACAGAGTTCGTTCCACCCTTGCCGACGCCAGGCCCTGCAGGAGAACCTACCGGTGCATCTGTGAGCACTGAGGAGATGTCTTTATGGCTTCAGAAGATCTTCGTCGACCGTGGATCACTCAGAACATCTGGCCACACGCTGAAGAGGACTTTCCTTACCATGGCGACAAAGCGTGGCGTTGAGCACTTGGACCGGTTGGTTCTGGGTGGACACGCAAACTCGGCCGGGATGGCCGACACTTATGGCGATGACGAGTTGGCCCGGCCCCTCCGCCTGCTCATGGCCTTGATTTCTGGGATTCGAGAGGGTGTCTTTGATCCAGATGCCGGTCGTGCGGGTTATTTGCGTGGGAGTGGCTTGGAAGAGCTTCGATTGGGCTTCGCTGCCCCGACTGATGATCGCCACCCTCCCTCTGCTGAGTCATGGGAGAGGGTGACGGCGTGACGGGTGACGACGACATGTTTGGCATGATCGACGCGCTTGATAAGGGAGCACCGAGCCAGCCAGACGTCTTCTTTCCGGGCGATGATGACGCGAACCTTATGGGGCAGGATCCTGTTGATGAGCCACCCGAAGCTGAGGTGGGTGACGGCGGTGCATCCTATTTGGGTGCAGTAGACGACAAACTCGCCGGCGAGGATTCTGATTCTTCCAGCTCGAGTGGATCAAGTGACTCAAGTGACAGCTCAGGAAGCGATGACGAACCGGCCCGGATTATGCCGCCGCCGGAGCCTGCGGAAGGCACAACATTTTTACAGCATCAGAGAACTCGCTTGCTGCACATGATTGCTGACAACAATCGCCGCGTACTGATGTGTGGGCGGTTGGTTAGCGACTTGTACAGCCTTCCACAGCGAATTAGGTTTGACTCATCAGTGTGTCGCAACTGCAAGAAGGCAGTGGCGGACAGTCACTAGTTCGCCTTGTGGGGCCGAGCGAGCTGCTTGTGTGTTGGGGGTCATCTGGTGTGCCGGTCATGTTATGTGAGCGGAACACAGCTTTGAATTCTCAGCTGACCTGGTGCTCGAGCTGCCTTTAGGGAGCGGCATGTCTCTGGTTGACAGTGAGGCTTCATTTCGGCAGCGATGTCAAGACGTCGGCGGGGGCGCGATTCACACCGCACTGTCTGACCAAGGGATCACTTCCTTTGCCTCGCTTGCATACTCCTGTGGCACGCCTCAGGATCGACCCACACAGGCGGAAATGGACGCATTTGCAGTAAAGATCTTGGGGGCTGCTCCCCGTTTGGGTGATGTGTCTATTTTGAAGCGATTGATGTTCGAGTCCGCCACATATGTCATAGCTCAGTTGCGTCAAGCTGTGCAAGGGGACTCTGCCGAACAGCCTCGAAAGCTTCCACTTGCTGAAAAACAGGCCAGGGCCGAAGATCAGCGCCGTCGGCTTAGTGGGGTACATATAGAGCGTGATTTGGTCCCTTCCCACGCTTTGGTGGACCTCTGTTGTCACATGCGTGATGTGGGCATCACATGGATATCGCCAGGCAAATGCACCAGCCGCGAATCAGAAATTCAGCTTTCAACGAAGGACCAAAGCAAAGTCTTTCGACTTGAGGACAACTCGTTGAAGGTCGGCAGTGAACAGCCTAAGGACATTGCTTCTTATGATTCGCCGATCAAGTTGCAGTGGTGCCTTCAGCGCCGCGGTCTGGCCTTGGACCAGGCTAAGGTGCTGACGTGGGCCCAGCATGAGCGTTGGGTTCACTGCTTGCTTCACGCACTGACTAAGGAGTGCCCTCCAGGATTCCACAAGCCTGATATGAATCGCATTGTGCAGGCCGATCGTGAAGCCTGGTTGATCATGGCGTCCGAGGTGCCATCGCTTAAGCCAAGTACTGCTGGCGAGTACCCTCTGGGTAAGGCTTTGGATGCGTTGAGGACTGACCCTCGGATCACCATGTACTTGATGGCTACCTGGGGCCGTGCACCGGATGTTAAGGTTCAAGACCTTGAGCAAGGCTCCCCTGCCAAACCAGGTGAAGGACTGTCCCGAGCCGCCAAGCGCCGTCGCCGTGCAAAAGAGGCGGCTACTGCTGCCAAGCGTAGAACACCTGCTGGACGGAGCACAGGCGCCCAGGCTACTGCTGCACAGGCTGCAAAGGCACGCACCGTGCCGGCTGAACTTAAGGATGCCCACCAGAAAACTGAGGACGGCAAGCCCATCTGTTGGGACCATAATTGTGCCGGCTGCAAGGCCAAGACTGAGGGAGACCCACCGCGCTGCCCTCGGGGTGTCCATGTTTGTGCTTACTGTCGCCGGGTGGGCCACTCCTTCCGTAATTGCCGAGCTCGCACTTGGAAGGGTTCCGGCAAAGGTAAATCCGAGTGACAAACAGATCTCGACACCTCAGCTCCTCCTGTTGAGGCGGCTGCCATTTCTGGCTATGGCCCACACTCAGTGGGATTTCATTTTTCCCCTGCTGCCACTTCTGAGGTTGCCGACGTGTTGGCACCCGCGGAGGCGATAGCATTGCAATGCCTACAGGCCGGTTTTGCTAGTCATGACGATTTTCGGAGCTTGATCGCTTTGCTCCCTGCGGACACTGCCGGTGCCCCGTCAGAAGAATCTGTGGACCCGACGGCTCCCAAATCTTTCACATCCGGCGCATATGTCCATCAAGCCAAAGCCGGACTGCGCTCTAATTTTCACGCCTTTCCTTTCAGTACCATGCTTTTGGCCGCCGTCTTGTCGGCGTCTTTTGGCTCTCGCTGCTTCTCGTCTGTTGGACTTTTCTTGAATTTAAAGGCGCCTCTGCACAACGACGCCAACAACGATCATGCCCATCCCAACCTGATCTTGCCTGCCTCTGTTTTCCACAAAGGCCAGATTTGGGTTGAGGGCAAGGGCGAGTGTCCGTGCCCCGACCCCGACGTGCCGCGTCTGGGCTACTTGCTGCCTGTTGCTGACGGCCCACAGTTGCTTCCTTCAGAGAGGCTGCACGCAACTTGTGATTGGGACGGTACTCGCCTGTTGATTGTGGGATTCTGCATTCGTGACACTGGCCTCCTGTCCGAGGCACACCGTGTTCGACTCCTTGATGCTCGTTTCCTCCTGCCTCAAGTTGAGTCCGGATCGGCCTCAGACGATGTGCTCCCCGTGCCACCGCCCAAGCGGCCCAAGGTTGCCTACCGACCCCTAGTTGGCCCTAAACCCGCCGCCTGCCCTTCCCTAACACCGCTAGGTTCGCCTGAAGCCGGACCATCCGCAAGTGCATCGGCTTCTACGCATACTGGATTGCAGGAGGCTTTCCCTCAACAGGCCACACCGCTGGTTATTGAGATTTTTGCCGGCACGGCTCGGCTCAGCACTGCCTGTCAGAAGCTGGGTTTCAGAACGCTTGCAATCGATAAATCCACGGCACGTGGACGCTTCCCCATACAACGTCTTGACCTCACCGATGCTGACGACCTTTGCATTCTTCTGGATATCATCCGTCTTGAGGCGGCCAATATTGTCTGGATCCATTGTGCGCCGCCATGTGGCACCGCGTCTGCGGCGCGCTCACGGCCCATTCCCGAATTGACGGCTGCTGGTGTTCGGGTGCCGCAACCTTTGCGCAGCACTTCCGAACCCCAAGGACTCTCCACTTTGACTGGCGCAGATCTTGAACGGGTCCAGAAGGCCAATATGCTCTACCGTGCCGTCGGGCAAATTGCTGACCTGGCTCGACAATTGAACATCTTCGTCACCGTGGAAAACCCACGCAACTCTTTGGCTTGGTTGTGCGATGGCCTGGACGAGCTGTTCCGCTCACCACATCACACCGTGGTCTACGATGCCTGCATGCATGGTGGCACACGTGACAAAACCACCTTGTTGTGGTGCTCTGCTGATTGGTTTCAGCCTCTCGCTCTTCGATGTTCACGCGACCACCAGCACGCTTCTTGGAAACCTCGTTTGCAGCCGCATGCTACCTCTTTCCCGACTGCAGATGAGGCTGCACATCCGGTGCTGCTTTGTGAACGAATGGCCCACATCATTGCTGAACGTGCTGGGGGACTCGCGCTTGCTGCGCCCGACCCGCGCCCTTTTTCCCAGGTATACTTGCAGCGACAGCCTCGCTTTGCACGACCCTTGGTCGCCTGCTATTCTGGGCGTGATGATTGGGCCATCCCTGTTCGATCCGATGATCTTACCTCCACGCTGCTGGCTTGCTACCCAAAGGGAGCGCGCATTATTCAACGCAAACTGGTATCCTGGGGTATGGTGCGGGTTTGCGTGCCTTCCAAATGCACAGGCATCGACCTGTCGTCGTTGCATTCCAAATACCCCCAACGGGTGAGGATCGCTGATTGTACTGAGGAGGACCACCTCAAGCATGACGAGACAGTTGCAATAACAGGTTTCATTGGGGCAGACGATCCGTGCTCCGAGCATGCGGAGATTGTTTCTGTTGGAATACCCAAAGAACCTTGCGACTTCGTGGCGGATGCCGTGAAGGCTGGACATCCAAGGAATGCTTTGAACGCGAGCCGGGAAGGACCTTCTTCCAAAGTTGCAGATGCCATTCTCATGGATTTCGAACGGAGGGAGCGGCTTGCCTCAAAAACCAAGGATCGTTGGGGTCAGATTGCGGCTACGACTAAGCCCTTGAGTCAGGACATGTTGAAGCACAAGCCGGACTGCATTGTGACTGCGTTAGGGGATAAGAACCTTTTGGCCTGGAAAAGTATTCTTGGTGACAATGGCTTCCCAGACCAACAACTCTGGTCTGACCTGCGCGATGGACTTAGACTGACTGGCTGGATGCGAGACACTGGAATCTTCGACAAGAAAGTCCGTCCCCCGCAAACATCGCTGGAGCACCTGCTAAGTCAATCCCAGTACCAAACACCCTTGACCTTGAAAAGGCTACAGAAGACTGTTGTTGACATCACGGCACGCAAGGCGTGGGCTGAAACGGTGGAGGAAGAGAAGAAGGGATGGATCTTTCGGGATGAAAGTGCAAATCTTGATGACATAGTCTTGGCCCATCGTTTCGGCTTGCAGCAGAAAGACAAAGTTCGTGTAATCGACAACGGCAAGGAGTGTGGCCTCAACTTGGCGTGTGGGCTACCAGAGAAGTTCACCTTGCATGGGGTGGACGTGCTTGCTGGAGTTTTCATTGAGTTGCTCAACCGCCCTGAAGCTGCCGGCAAAAGGATCAAAGGGAAAACCATTGATCTTGTCTCTGCGTACAAATTCTATCCAATCCACCCTCAAGACAGGCGTCACTTGAGGATCGGGGTCTATGACACCGACTCTGGCATAGTCAGGATTTATGGAACCAATGTTCTTCCTTTCGGTGCCACCGGAAGTGTGGCAGGTTTCCTGCGAGTTTCGGCGGCGATTTGGCATACGGGCATCCAGGACCTTGGCCTGGGATGGTGCGCCTACTTTGACGATTTTCCTTTGATGGCCCTTGAGGGTCATGAAGACCAAGTTGGGGAATTGGCTGGAGAAGTGTTCGACGCACCGGGGATCCAATACGCAAGGGAGGGTAAGAAGGCCACTGACTTTGATTACACTTTTGACGCCCTGGGATTGCAGTATGACTTGACGAAATTCAACGAGGGGGTGGTCATCATTCGGCATACGGAAGCACGTACTGCTGAGCTGGTGGAAACACTCGAGGGAATCTTACGTGATGCTGTACTCCGACCTAAGGATGCGGAAGTTTTGAGGGGAAGGATGCACTGGTTTACTTCGTATCTTTTCGGTCGTGCGCCGTGTGAGGCGATGAGACAGATATCCTTGAGGGCACAGTGTATGGACTCATGCACAAGGCTCACTGACGACCTGACCGAGGCGATTCAAACCTTGCTCCGCTACGTGGTTGATTCCAGGCCATTAGAGCTGAGGCAAACGACTGGGCGCGAGCTGTATGTCTTTACAGATGGCTCGTATGAGCTTACGGCTGAGAAGCGAGCCGGCATCGGTGGCGTCCTCTATGACAGTGCTGGCACGCCGTTGTCATTCTTCTCTTCACAGGTGAACGAGGATGATCTGCGGGCTCTTGAGGAAGCTTCTGATCATCCGATATATGAAGTGGAACTGTATGCCTCATTGGTTGCTGTTGAGATTTGGGGACCCTTATTAGAGGATTCCTTTTCCGTTTTTTACCTTGATAACGAAGCCGCTCAATCAGCACTCATTGCGGGCCGTTCGGGCACGGATCATGGAAGGAAGCTGGTCCAACGCTTCCTGGATGCCGAGCACAGGTGGCGGGCAAGGCCATGGTTCGGGCGAGTCCCGACTCACTCGAATCCAGCGGACGAGCCAAGCCGCGACTGCTGCAAAAGGCTCTTGAATCAAGGCGCTCAGCGGATGCTGACCAGCGGTGAGAGGCTGCTTGTTTGAAGGAACGGCTACATGTGCGCACGGGACACATGTGTCTTGCATTGGATGCTTGACCTTGGGGCCGATGGAGATATCAAACTTTGTTCGTTTCGACCCCACGGCATCGCGCAATATCATCCTAGCAAAACGAAGGCTGCTGAGCGAGTGACTGCGATCTTATTTCTTATATCGTTCTCTGAAATATATTGGAGTGACGTGAAGAGGAATATTCATGATATCGTCCATGTGTTTGTGGAACAGGAAATAAGTGACTTCATCACTTGTGATTATCACCTTATTTCCTTTTTCACAACAGCCGTTGTCGTGTTACGACAAGGTTGAACATGGTGATTTTCATGAGATTTCCGTCTTTTCACGATTTGCTCTTTTACTTTCACGCATGAGCATTGAGAAACATGGGCATTTGAATGACGATCCGAATGCAAGGTTTCTTGCTCAAGTGGGCAGGAAAAATTCTTTTTGCCCACCCGCCCGCCCGGGGTATGATCGGGTGCGCAAGTTCTCGACTTATCTCATCGACACATGTGTCTTGCATTGGATGCTTGACCTTGGGGCCGATGGAGATATCAAACTTTGTTCGTTTCGACCCCACGGCATCGCGCAATATCATCCTAGCAAAACGAAGGCTGCTGAGCGAGTGACTGCGATCTTATTTCTTATATCGTTCTCTGAAATATATTGGAGTGACGTGAAGAGGAATATTCATGATATCGTCCATGTGTTTGTGGAACAGGAAATAAGGGAACTATCAAATGCTCTATCTCCTGAAGGAGAGTCACTTTCCCTCGAGTGGCCGTGACATGCAACGCTTACTCGACAGCTGGCCGCACGAGGCAGCGACCGGCTCCACTAGGTGACCTCCGCCCTTTGCGACCTAGGACCGACGACATACGTCGTTGTGTCGATATTCTGGAAGCTGAGAGAGCTACATAGCTCTGAGTAACATTGCGTCTCACGAGACGGGCAGGTGGTATCCCTCCGCCCTGCATCCACTGTTCGATCAGGCCGGCTCGGCGGCTCATTCTTCTGGCCCGCTGAGGGCCTCGATCTGATGGCACGCTGACCGACGACATACGTCGTTGAGGTCCGATCGCTACCTCTTGCACTTCCACACCCTTGCCTGGTCACTTGCACGGTACCCTGACTTGGTTGCGTCGTGTTGGGCTGCCAGCACGTCGACATATACGTCGATGTCCGTTGTCTAACCCCCGCACGGCCCTCTCTTCCTTGCTTCTTGCATGTGTGTGGCTTCGACATGTCTCAGACTACCTCATTTTGGGACATCGACCCGGTCTTTGTCACATTCGCACTGTCCCTTCCAGCGGGGCGCGAACTGCGTGGTCTTGAGGGACGCTTTGACGGGTATGGGCAAAACTCCCCCAGTTGACCCCGGGCGTGCCGCTGACGTTTCCCGCACGAGACAGGACTCTTGCCATGGCTCAGACTCTGTCTTGGGAGACCCGTTAACTTGGAACGTCCTGTGCGTTGCGCTGCCGGACTAACGCACACCAGGAGCCCACGGTTTACTCCCTTGCCTGGTCTACCTGTGCGTGTAGTTTGGCGACAATGACCGCCAGCAGGCACTCCACCACCGAATTTGCACACACCGTGGATCGTCTGTCTCGATCCCGGGTTACGGCCATTTCTGGCCGGCTTTGAGTCGCAACGACTCGGGCACCGACAGCTCTGAAGCCCTTCTTCCCGGCGAATTGGACTTCTGGACTTTGGTGTGCTCGACCGTGACGAAACAAAGCGCAGGGGCTGCCCGTTGTCTGACGAGACTAGAACGGCGGCCGGAGCTTGGTCTTGGCTCCACCTGTTGCTTTGGGCAGCTCAGAGCGACGGCTCTTTGTTGCTTCTGATCGGTCGCTGAGGCTCCGTAGATGGGTTGAACGGCTAACACCGGTAAAGCCTGTGCGCCGCAGCCCTTGTAGAGCTTCGCCTTTGTCTCACCGCTTTGCAGTTTTTAGTTGCTTGTTTGTAGTTTGTTTGTTTGTAGGGACCGAGTGCTACAGCCGTAGTCGACGAGGCCCGCTCACGCCAAAAAAAAAGCTGACTTGACGGAAGAGGGGCCAGGCAGGCAGCCCTTAAGGAGCGCCTCGCAGGTAGCAGAACGTTGCAAGATTTCTCTGTCACAGTCACGGCCTCGACCTGCACCAGCTTGGTGTCTTCTCCGACTGGAGTCGCATAATTGGTTGGATCGGCAGTTTGGGCTCGGTGGTGGTGTTCGAGCTAGGTGGGCCGCCGGTCTGCAGACTCGTTGGGACTCCCTTTTTACAGCCACCGCCAACGAGTGCTGCGGCGGTCACCCTGCCTCACCACAGACTGGTTTGTCTGAAGTCGGGGAGTGGCCTCAACCTGTTTAAGCGTGTTCTTGCTTTGCCGAATGGTCGTGTCCCCCTAACGCTGAGTGTGCCGGCCTCCATGCTTCCAGGCCGATCACACACTCCGGCGCCACGTTCTCAGTGGAAATTGACATGGTTTTTTCTCTTTCTCGGGCATGCCGGATCTCAGCGTGGGAGGGACTCTTCGACCCTGCACAGGCCGTTTTAGAGGCACCAGGGCATCCAAAATGGTTGAAGGAGATGCGGTTCGTGCCTCGCGCAACAAGGATCGCTGTATATGAGCTATGGGAAGGCCATCGGGGTCCCAAGCAGATTGCTGCGGCCGAGACTTTCAGGAAACAGGGTGGACTTGGCCCCGGCATCCAGATTTCATCTCCGAAGCACTCATGCCGCACCTACATGAATCCGACATCGACACGCTACAGTATCGCTTCTGTCGTCTCAAAGGATTGTATGACGAGGGTCAGTACCAATTGCTGTACCTCCTGCGGGAATCTCATTTCCCGAGCGGTGGTAATGACATACAGCGTCTGCTCGATCAATGGCCCTCCCCTACATAGGAACCGGATTTTCGACTCCTGTTCCTTTGGCTGGCCACTGTGTCCATACCTGTCGACATACGTCGACGGTTCCTACCATCTCCTGGCCATGGAATTTGGACTTGTGGACTTGCCGTGCACGATCGGGACACAACAATACCTCGGGGCTGACCGTTGTTCGACGGAACTAGAACGGCGGCCGGAGCCTTGGATTTGGGATCCACCGGTGGTACTGGACAGCTTTGGGCGACGGCTCACTGTTGTCGTGGAACGATCGCTGAGGACCCGTAGTTGTTGCTGAACGGCTCACGCAGGTAAAGCCTGTGCGCCGCAGCTAGTTTTGTCCTCTTAATTAGGATGTCTCACCGCTGTGTTCGTTCGTTTGTTGGTTTGTTTGTTTGTAGGGACCGAGTGCTACAGCCGTAGTCGACGAGGCCCGCATACGCCAAAAAACGGGGTCCCAAGCAGATTGCTGAGAAGTTCACAAAAGGCACGACCACGGATGTTGGCAGCATCCAAGTAGACCTGCGCAATCTCTCCACGCGGCACTTTCCATGTCCTCCCACCTGCCTCATTGACCTTGACGATTGCAGCTTCTCCCCAGCCGCCTGGAGTTATGCGGATGGGAGAACCAGGAGACGGAGTTCTCTCCCCCTGGCTGTGATATGTATCGATGCGATTTTGGATTTTCCGGCAGTCTGGACGCCGATGCGCCTCTATGGCTCCGACGTATGCTTGTCGTTCGCAGAGTATCCGGGAAGCAGGATCTCAACGGTGCATGATCATGTCCCGCTAGCTCAATGGAGCGGGCCCTAAGAGCTACACTGGACTGTGAAAGGCGATGCATTGCTTACTTTCACAGCGTCTACTTGGGGAATAATTTTGGCTAAGGCGATGCGCTCAGCGTCTAGTTGGGGTTTTTTTGGCTTATGCGGGCCTCGTCGACTACGGCTGTAGCACTCGGTCCCTACAAACGAACAAACGACCAAACAACAAAAACAGCGGTGAAACAAGGAACTTAATTAGAGAGGGCGGAGCTAGCTGCGGTGCCCAGGCTTTGCCGGGGTTAACCGTTCAGCACTTGCTACGGGTCCTCAGCGATCGTTCCACGACAACAGAGGGCCGTCGCCCAAAGTTGCCCAAGACCGTCACTGAACCCAAGTCAAGGCTCCGGCCGCCGTTCTAGTTCCGTCGAGCACTCGGGTGATGTCGCCGCTGCCTGGGCCTGCGTGGGTTTCCTGATTCAGGCCTTCTATTGGCAACCGGATACAGCAGAGGGTTACACAGCCGCTTGCAGGGTCCCTCGACCTCGGGAACCAGTTGCCGAGCTGTTAGCGCCGTTCCCAGGCGCGCTGGCTTGGGCCCGCGGTGCACACGAGCAATGCGCGAATTCTACCTTGTACGCCATGAGCAACCAGCGATGCCGCATCGGTTGCTTGCCCGGACCCGGGCTCTTTATGAGCAAGCGTCTACCAGATAAAATGACTCAGTAGTCGGGCCGGCATTTGTGCACGGATACGGAGCGGGTGGCAAAATCTACCTGAGATCGCTGGACCACCTGCGGGCTCTGCCAACTCTCGCAGAGCGTCTCTGGGGCTGGAGGGGCAAACCGCCTGCGTGGGCGGTGGGACTCTATGGCCTTATGGGTGCTCCGGGATTTTGCATTGTTGGCCCTGAGCGGCCGGCCCTGGAGGGCGCCAGCCGTCCCCTGGAGTTTCGCTGTTTAGACGCAACTGCCGAGCGATCAGCGGCACACCCGCTGACTGGCACTGTACGAGGCTGGATCTGTTCGGAACTCGAGCGTCTTTGCCGAGGCTCCTCCCGAGCTGGTCAGGGGGCGCTAGCCAGCGATGTCACCCTGCTCGACGCGTACTTTGAGAGGGTGGGCCGTTTTGGCAGAGCACACTTAGATTCCACGACAGATGAGAACGACCTATCGCTGCCGGTCGAGAATCGCCCCATAAGGGTCAGGTGCTCTGGGGCGGCGGCATTCCATGTCCCGAGCCGTACGGAGGAATGGCAAGTGGTATGCTCGCAGCAATGCTATGGACCCACGGGGTGCCAGACGGAGACCACAGTGGAGGGTGACAAAAGACATCTGTTCGTTGAAGAACCGGCTCGGCTGGCCTACGCAGGTCAACACAGCAGCTTGCTACTGTCACCGGCGAGTGTGATCAGGACGGCGCATGCCATGTTGGATTCACCCCTCAATCCGCCGGAGGTCTCGATGCTGCATAGACCATTTCAGCGCCTACGCCGCAGCTCGCATCTGCAGTCGCCACATAGTGGTTGCCTCACTGCCTTGCTAATTTTCTTGACGGCGCTGAGGCCTAGTCCCCTGATTATTCACGGGTTCTCGGCGGGCAGCTACAATACCGCCGCAGCCCGGGCCCGGCAATTCTGCTGTGACCCCAGAGTGTGCCCTCCACCATGTAGTGCGCCTGGGTGCCCTAGGGATGCCGGACTTCATCTTCGATCAACTCATACAACTACCGGTCACCCTGTGGCTGGTGCACGCTCAGGAGGACAAACTCTGCCCCTTTGCACCATTAGCCCAGGTCCGCTCGCAGTTGGACAGGCGCCTGCGGGCGGCGGGAGGCGGTTTTGTCTGGCTTTTAGGAGGGGCGACGGCTGCCCTTTTCGGCCCGAGCTGCCATGGATAACAATTGCACCTGTTCCGTTTTCCGGTTTTTAGCGATTCGCCACATATGCGGGTCATGCGGACGCTCTTCCCGAATGCGGACCTCACGGACGCTGGCTTGGCCAGTCTGCAGAGCGCTCTGCCGCCCGCACTCTCGGCAGAGTTGACAGCGAACCAGGAGCCCGCTACCGCAGTAGTGGGCCGCCTTAAGGCATGGCTGCTCAGCACCATCGAACTACACCACATTACACCAGAAATAAGAGCGACTAGCGGGCTTCCAGCGCCGGTTGCCAGCGCGCTTGTGCGGCACACCCTGCCACGAGTTGTTGATTTCCTCTTCCACCTCTTCAATAAGGGCGCCACATTGGCGGACTCCACGGAGGAGGGCAGGCGTGAGCCACATAGGCACGCTGCTCCTAGCGCGAGAGTGGCAGGTTCCCCAGAATCTTTTGGTCACCATCACGGCAACGACGTGCACTAGCTTTGGGGCTTACCTGTTAAAGGTTGTGGCCTCTTCTCCGAGGGGCAATGTCCGCAACTGGTTTTCCCACCTCGAACGGCAGTTCCCTTTTGAAGGCTCTGCGATCGTCCTGGAAGTGGGCGGCCCACCCCCCGTGAAGCTTGTGGGAATCTTCAAGGAACTACATATCAACCGCAAACGAGGTGAGCGTCCATACGACAGACACCTCAGGAAACTCAACCCCAGCTCTGTTGAGATTCTCGTTCACGAGTGGCCGGCCGTCTTGGGGCCATCGCCAACTGCCCAGTGCACACCGACTGTCACCCTCCCTTACCACAGACTTGTTTGCCTGAAGTCCGGCGGGGGCCTCGACCTCTTTCGACGCGTCCTTGCATTGCCGATGGGTCGTGTGCCATTGTCCTTAGGGGTGCCGGGCCCTACCGCCTCCAGGCCGACTACACATTCTGACGCGGATTTCGCGAGTGAGCTGGACATGGTCCTGCTTTTTCTCCAGGCCTGCCGAGTCATGGCGGTCGAGGGACTGTTCAACCCGGAGCAGGCAGCTTCTGTTGCGTGGGCCGCACATCGCGTGTGCTCCTCGACACTAAACACAGGTTACAGGCGGGACACTCACAGCGGCGGGTAGGGCAAGGGGAGGTACCACGAGACGAGATTCCAGCCATCTACTTGGAAGCCGCGAACATGCGTGGCCGCGCCTTCTGTGAGCTCATCAACCTTCTGCTTGAAGATCCAGACGGACTCCTGATTTCGCACATTCAGGCCATCTTGGTGGCGCGGGGCACGAACCGTACATCGCTGAACATCTTGGGCTGCCCTGAAGCATCCAAGACATTTTCCCTTCTGCTGGCGGTACTGTGCATTGACGCCGTATTGGATTTTCCTGTCGTTTGGACATCGCAACAGCACCCCGCCCTCCTGGCGGTGCTTATGATCTCCCACAACGTGTTGGCGGATGCGCCGCTTTGGCTACGACGCATGCTGGTCGTCCGCCGTGTATCAGGTAAACAGGACTTGTTCTCCACTGTTCACGACCATGTGCCCCTGACCCACGGCGGAGGACCCAAAGACAGGGGGCAGGATGAGCAATTCGAGGCGGAACACCGCGCCCAAGACCAGGAGGGGGCAACTGTGCCACCCCCGCTGCTCCAGGCACGCATCCTTCTAATCACACAGGGGTCAGGAGCCCAGCAGTTGGGGAGATATCGGTCCGAGATCTTGTCGGCGCTGTTTCACTGCCGTGCTTTGATCATCGACGAAGGACAGCAAGAGGGACATACCGAGTCAGTCAACGTTACGGATCCGTACTGGGGATCCCAAGCAGCCCACCATCGACAGGCTCCTACAAAAGCACGTTGGCATCCGTGGAGTCGCTCAGGCGGGGCTGCAGTTAGTCCAGCCGCTACATGTGGCATTGGCCACAAGCAGACTGGTCCATGATACCCGACAGGGCCCGCTGCGGGTAGGTGCGTTTCAGAGCTTACAGGATGTGGTGCAAACTGGCCTCCAGCCGTCCGACGACTCAAGCCACCCCGCGGTTGAGCTGCGAGAGGAATATGCGAGATGGCTTTTCCTCTCTCCTACGCCTATTCAGGGACGCCCTCTCGGACGGTGCCTGTGATGTGCAGTTCGCAGATCGTGTCTGCCGCGTCCCATACGCAGCTCTGCACAGTGTGGGCGGCCAGCTATGCTTCCCCTGCCAGGGCCTTGCCGAGGACGATAGGGCTGCAGCTATCGCGCCAGCAGAGCACCTGGGCCCTAGGGGGATTCTCGCCTACATGGCTAACCTTGCAGCGACCGGGGCCAGGCTCAAGATGGCAAAGGACACGCATCAAGCGGAGGGATTGACTGCAATTAATGGAGTGGCATTCAATCTAGGTCTTATCAGCTCGGCTCGCCTGCTAACGGAAGTCTACCTCCTGATAACGGCGGTGAGATACCCGCAAGCGGTGCAATGGTGCCTGACAACGGGACGGCGTCCAGGGGTCCCAACCATCGGTAGGATTGCGGCCCCCAGCAGTGCTCGGGATGCGGCCAACCGCGATCCTCGAAGCCAGTGGCAGCCAGGCTTACGCTTCCTGGAAATTCCGGAGTCCGAGACCATACACCGGACCTGGCACGCCGAGGACCTGCGCAACCTTCTGCTGATCGTCCTTACCCACCTCTACATCACACAAGGACACCGTATACGTGCACTGGGGAGTCAACGGCTTGTGCTGGTCAACCCCTCCAATCGGTTGCTACACAATTTCCAGACATTCGTGGGTCTGAGCAACGCAGGGCTAACAGACCAGAATGAGCAACTACAGCCCAACAACCAGCAGCAGGGCAAACTCTGGATGGAGTGGGCCAGAGAACTGGACCCTGAACTACCCCGGCCGGAAGACATTCATACGACTGCGCAGGCCACAGAGGTCTTCCAGTTTCTCAGCCGCCGGCATGCGGAGCTTGGGCCGTTCATCGACCTCTATTCCGCCACAGCTTGTGCGGGGTCTACCGGAGCTGTCAATCTGTGTATGGTGGATCGTGCGGGCGAATTCACGGAATGTGGGGAGGCAGCACACCAACGAATCACGGCAGCGCTCACGAGAGGGACAGGGCCACTTCTAGTTGTCTCGCCAGCACATGCCTCGGGCCTCCTTGCGGCTGCGCGCATGCATGCGAGGCTTGAGGGCTCTTTGCTGCGTTGGCCGGACGCTAGTGAACGTAAGGGGCTCCCCCCCAACTGGGCTCAGGACATCCGAGACGATCAGGCCACAGTGCAGTCTTTTCACAGCCTGTGGCACCTGCGGTCATTTCCGCCCTTGGAGGAAGCCACAGCCCTTTTGGTTGTTGTCTTTGACAAAGCAGGCGGCCACCATAGAGCTCAGCTCCACCTGCGGGGAGCTGAGCGAACATGGACAGGCAGGCTGGGCAGACCACAGGAATCTACGTTCTTCTACCCCCTCTTTGACACCGCAGACCCTTATGCGGTGACGCTAGACATAGACGATGAGGGTCCTGGCTTCAAGTTGTATTGCCTGCGGGATTGGCAGGGCAAAGGAGTCCGCCCACCAACACGAACTCTGTCGAGCGCGCACGATATACCTTTATGAAACGTCGGACAGCCTTCCATGGGAAGGCGGTTTCAAAAAAAAAAAGAGAAGACGATGCACTCTTCTTGATTCCACTGGATTGCTTTTCATGGACACCACTATTGATTGCATGATCTTTTATTTTCCATGGATTGCTGAGTGAATTATTCATGATCTCATGCCGTTGCCAGTTTCCTCAATCAGTGTGAATGAGGAAAACAAAATTTTGTTGGGGCCTTTTGAGGTTCAGGACCCTGCATTGAACCAGGGCCCCTCTCTCGACGTTGGGCTTAGCCCACCGTGCACGCCGCTGTCGCCGACAGCGGCAGATGGCAGCAGAGCTGAAAGATGGGCGAAGGTGATGAATCTGCCCCGTTCGACAGTCGGGCAGTGGCCTTTCATGCAGCTCATACTTGGAATGCTTATAAGAGATCGGTAGGCATCTTCCCGAGCCCTCCAGAACAAATGCATTCGCTCTTCAGGAGAAGCTGCCTCTTGCCTAGGCCGACAGGGCTCTTGCCCCCAGCGCCGGGTCCAGGGCCGATGGCCGCTTCTTCCAGCTCCGGCCCAGATCTTGGAGCCTCGCAGTCAGCATTCCTTGCAGCGGGACTGAAGCCATTGTCAGCCCGAGATGCTCACCTAAGGTCTAAGGCCCTGGATGCTAATAGGAAGTGTGCCTTGAAGAAGTGGGTTACGCTTGTTTCCTTGGATTTTAACGCCTGGGGTGTAGCCAAGCAAGCCATGGGGCCTTTCGATCCCAAATTTGCCACAGGAGGCTTGGTGGAAAGTGTGCAGGACTGTCTTGCAGACAAAGCCACAGCTACCTTGCACCAACGCGTGGGACCCATCTTCAGATACGTGCACTTCTGGAAGCTTCAGTTCGTAGTGTGCCTGCCTGTGAGAGAGCACCAGCTCTACGATTACTTCAAGGCAAATCCGAATGCGGCCCCGACTTCGTTCAGGTCGCTGCTTATCGCTTTCAGCTTCGCCAAACATCTGCTAGGCTTGATCGTGTTGGACGAAGCCCTGAGCAGCGGGAGGATCGTAGGGCTTGCAAATGCTCATTACTCGACGAGGTGTGCAGTTAAGCGCAGGCCTGCTCTAACCGTGGAGCAAGTCAAGCGACTCGAAGCTCTCGTGCTCAGCCCCATGGCGCGGCCAATGGACCGAATCGCAGCTGGGTGTTTTCTGCTTATGATATATGGTCGCCTACGGTTTTCAGACATGCAACGTTCTTCAGGTTTCGCGATTGATTCAGCTTTGATTGATGGCGTGGAATCAGGGTACCTTGAAGGGCAAGCCGAGAGGACCAAGACATCGGTGTCGCTTGAAAGGAAGATCCGCTCTCTTCCCATCGCTGTTCCGTTGAAATGTGTAGGAGGTAGGCCTTGGATCAGAGCATGGCTTGAGCTTCGAGAGGCAGAGGGTCTCGATAGTTCTTATCCTACACTTCCGTGCCCCGCAACCGGAGGCGGGTGGACAAGACTTCCGCTTAAGGTCTCAAGTGGAGGCGCCTGGCTGAGAAGTTTGATTCCTGGCGCGAGTGCAGCATCTGGCGACGTCCAGATCGCGACCCACTCTTGTAAGAGTACACCGCTCTCCTGGATGGCGAAAAGAGGCGTGCCGGCCGGCCCTCGTCGCACTCTGGGTTACCACGTGCCGCGTAAGGACAAGTCGTTAATCATTTATGCCAGGGATTCACTAGCGGCTCCATTGCGCGAGCTGGACCAGGTAATCGACGAGATTGCCGCCGGTAGATTCAAGCCGGATCTCACTCGAAGTGGGATGATAGCCAATCTTGCAGATCCACAGCTTCCACCTGAGAATGAGGAGGAGGCTGACGCCATATCATCGAGCTCTAGCGAGGCGTCCGATGATGAGGAAGAGGCCCCCGTGAGTGACGAGGAGCAGGCCTTGGAGCAGATCGCCGGTCAGTGGGGCCCCGAGCCCGGCGACGGGCCTTGGGCTCGTCACAAACAGACTAGGTTCTTGCACAAGGTGAGAGATGAGGCCGGGACCCACTTGAAGTGCGGTAGAGCGATCTCAGTGCGTTTTGAGATTTTAAGCGAGGCGCCAAGATTTATGTATCCTACATGCGCCACCTGCTTTCCAAACTCCTGAGGTTCAAAAGCCGTGTCAGGAGTCAACGCCACGCGTGGGCGAAAATCGCGGGGTCTGAGAAAAGGCAACATGCAAATCTCACCTTGGTCGTGGATGAATAACCAGCGCGATCTCGTAGTGACTGCTTGTGTCTTGGAAGTGCAGAACTACAAGTGCTGTTTGAGCGATGCTTGTCACGTGAATTGTGTGTTGCGCTAGGGAGCTGCCGATGACAAAAGTGATTGCAAAGCGTGCTGGGCCCTAGTCTGAGCTTGACAGTCTAGAAAGAAAGAGCCATGTCGTTTGGAGAGAGTGCGGCTGTCTTCAAGGCGCGAGCCAAGGACATTGGAGTTTCTGATGAGAGCTTCGCGAAGCTTGAGGCGGAGGGACTGACAACGATGGCAACTTTCGCCTTCTGTTGTCATTTCAACCCGTCGGCGACAGACGAGAAACC